TGGCTAGCTAGCTAGCTAGCTAGCCAGCTAGCTAGGCGGCCGCGCGGCCGCCGAAACAGCTAGCCGTCGCGTCCGCCGAGTGGCTAGATGGCGGCGCCCAGCAACTAGTTCTCGAGCTAGCTAGCCAGCTAGCTAAGTGCGCAGCTAATTGGCTACCTAGCCAAGTGCGCAGCTAGCCGGCTCGCTAGCTAGCTGTCCGCGTGACGGGCTAGCTAGCCAGCCAGCTAGCTAGCTGCGAGCTAGGTAGCCGGCTAGCCTCTGCCCCGACGAGCCACGGCCACAACTGATATTGAGGGGCCCCACAGGGGGGCCCCTTTGAATTTTTGGGCAGTACCAAGTTGCTGCCTGCAGGGCGGGGGCCCCACAGCTCAAGGGGGCCCCCTAGGGGGCCCCCCAGGGGCCCCTTGGGGCCCCTGAGAGGGTAACCGGGGGCCCCTAAATGGCACTTTAACTTGGCTGGGTCTTTGATTTGTGAGGTGTACGCAAGCAGCAGCAGCAGCAGCAACTGCTGAGCAGAAGCTGCAGCAGCAGCACCTGCTGAGCAGCAGCTGCGGCAGCCAACCACTGCTGCTCCCCAGTGTCGAAGCGCCACAAATAGCAACCCTAGGGTCGCTTCTCCGGCTAGCTAGCTAGCTTGCTGGCTGGCTAGCTAGCTGGTTGGCTGGCTAGCTTGCTAGGGCCGTGGCGCAGGAGGCCCGCCAGCCACACCTGGCTGGGTAGCCAGCTGCGTAGCTAGCTCACCGGCTAGCTAGCTTGCGAGTAGGCCAGCTAGCTGGGAAGTCGACTAGCCAGCTGGCTGCGTAGCCAGCCAGCCAGCTAGCTGGGGACACAGCTATCCTGCTAGCTAGCTAGCTGGTAGAATAGCTAGTTAGGTAGCTGACTAGCCCCAACCAACTGGCTAGGTAGGCAGCTGGTTTGCCCCAGCTAGCTGGCTAGCTGACTAGCTGACTAGCCAACCCCCTAGAGAGTCCCAACCGACTGGCTAGCTGGCTGGCCAGGCAGCTGGGTAGCTAGCCAGGTAGCTAGCTGGCTAGCCACGCGGCTTGGTAGCTAGCTGGATGGCCAGCTGGCTTGCGAAGTCGCTGGCTGGACCCTGCCAGCTGGCCAGCCAGGCGGCTAGGTGTCTCCAGGTCGCTAGCTGGCTAGCTGGCTGGATAGCTGGCTAACTGGGTGGCTAGCTGGCTAGCTAGTCCACAATGCCGATGGCCAAGTCGTCGACGTGGTGGTTCCGTCTTGGGGGGCTCCCCAAGTGGCTAGCTGCCTAGCTGCCTAGCTGCTGGCTAGCTACCTATCTAGCTGGCTAGCTAGCTGGCTAGCTAGCTAGCCAGCTAGTCGAGAATGCCGAGAGCCAAGTCGTCGACGTGGTGGCGCTGCCTGGGGTGGCTCGCCAGCTAGCAGCCAGCTAGCTAGCAAGCTGACTGGCTAGCTAGCTAGCTAGCCGTTAGCTAGCTAGCTAGCTAGCTAGCTAGCTAGCTAGCTGGCTAGCTAGCTGGCTAGCTAGCTAGTCGACAATGCCGAGAGCCAAGTCGTCGACGTGGTAGCGCTGCCTGGAAAGTGCAAACAAGTAGCTGGGGTCGACTGCGCCCACGTCGGTGATGAAGACCGACACCAGCGAGCGGGGCACGTAGTCAAACATTGGAATGCTGCGCGCAGCCACACAGCTAGCTAGCTAGCTAGCTTTAGCTAGCTGGCTAGCTAGCTGGATCCACGGGTAGCTAGCTCGCTAGCTAGCTCGCTAACTGTCTGGCTCGCGGGGCAGCTCGCTAGCTAGCTAGCTGGCTGGCTAGCGTGGTAGCTAGCTATTCAGCTAGCTGGCTGGCTCGCGGGGCAGCTCGCCAGCTAGCTAGCTGGCTGGCTAGCGGGGTAGCTAGCTAGCTATCTAGCTAGCTGGCTGACTAGCGGGGTTGCTAGCTAGCTAGCTGGCTGGCTGGCTGGCGGCGTAGCTAGCTACCGGGCGAAGTGGCTAAAGGGGTAGCTAGCTAGCGAGCTCGTTGGATAGGAGACTGGCTGGCAGGCTAATCGGCTAGCTGGAGGGCTAGCTAGCTGGCTAGCTGGCTGGATAGCTGGCTGGCTGGGAGGCTAGCCGGCTTGCTGGCTGCCTAGCTACCTGGTGAGCTGGGTGGCTAGCTGGCTAGCAGACAGCTGGCAACATGACAGCCACAAGTCGAGCTAGGATACGCAGGGCCGCATCTGGCTAGCTGGCTAGCTAGCTAGCTAGCTAGCTAGCTAGGTAGCTAGCCAAGCAACTAGCTGGCTAGCGAGGGAATCGTACCTTATGCTCACGTTGCCCATGTTCAGCCCGTCCGGCACCGCCTGCAAACAGCCAGCCGCAGACAGCACTTGGGCAGCTAGCTAAGCAGCTAGCTAGCCAGCTGCGTAGCTAGCTGGCTACCTAGCTAGCCAGCTATTCAGCTAGCTACCTAGCCAAACAGCTCCATAGACGAAGGGCTATCGAGGAAGCTGACGAGGCGCCAGCCAGCTAGCTGGCTAGCTAGCTAGCTGGCGAGCTAGCTAGCCAAACAGCTAGCCGAATAGCCAGCCAAACGGGTGCCTCCCCAGCTAGCTAGCTAGCTAGCTAGTTGGCTAGCTGGGAAACTGGCTCGCTACCCTGTCTAGCCAGCTAGCAAGCTAGCTCGCCACCCTAGCAAGCTAGCTAGTTAGCTGGCTCGCCACCCTAACTAGCCAGCTAGCTAGCCGGCTCGCTACCCTAGCTAGCTAGGCAGCTAAGCAGCTAGCTAGCTAGCTAGCTAGCTAGCTGGAGGCTCACTGCAGCGGGAGGGATGAGCTCGTTGGAGCTTTGGTTGTCGAAGAAGGGAAGATAAGTGAGTTTGAAAAGAGGGGCAACAGCAATTAAGGGTTTATTAAAAAAGCGAGCAGCAACAGCAACAGAATTGGCCCCCCCCACAGCCACAAACCCTCCCGAAGACAACACCGCCACAGTCCCTGAGCCACAGCGACGCAAACCCTAATTTAGGGTTTAGCCATTTCACCACACGCCGCTCACAAACACAAGCCAGTACCCAAACCCTAAACCCTAAGTACCTCGCGGGGCTTTGTCCAGCCCCTAAACCCTAAACCCTCGTTCTGCGCCCAAATTGTACGCCGTAAACGCCAAACCCTAAACCCTAGCCCCCAAACCCTAAACCCTAAACCCTAGGCACCTAGGAGGACTTTGTCGACCTTCGGCATGGCAGCAAAGAGTGCAGAATCTGGCATAAAAGTTGTTTGAATTCCAACTCCTTGAAGTCTTTTTGCCAATTTTCTGCTGCCGTCTTCGCCGTCGCCCCCCAAAACCACAACTTCAAAAAGACACCGCAGCGCAGCGCTGCGCCGCCCCGCCTGCTGCAGCTTCTGGTTCTTCTCGTGCACCTGCGCAAACCCTAAACCCTAAACCCTAAACCCTAAACCCTAAACCCTGGAGCCTAGGCACTCAGCGCTGCGCCCTGCCGCAGCTCGCCCGCGGCCAGAAGACGCAAGCAGACACTCACAAACGGTTCATACAAAGAAGACGGCAAACATAACACAAGATCTAGGGTTTAGGGTTTAGGGTTCGGGGTTTAGGGTTTAGGGTTTGCACCGCTATAAGGAGCCTCTCGACAGCTAAAGAATAGCCGTAAGTCAAAATGCAATCTCCATCATGAAAACAACTCATGCGGATTTCTTCGCCGTCTTCCCACAAGCTGTCGATTTCCGCCACGAGTTCAGACATGCCCTGCAGCCAAACCCTAAACCCTAAACCCTAAACCCTAAACCCTGAACGCTAAACCCTCAGCCCGGGCAGTGCAGAGAAGGTTTCGCTTCGTCGAGCAAGCTTTTCGCGCTGCGCCCAAAGC